GTATGGTAACAATCATCCGCACTTCTTTTCGGGTTCATTACAAGAAGCAGTACGCGAAGCATTCGAAGCACCAGGGCGAGAAGCTGCGGAACGGCGTCCACTTGCTGTTTATCTTCACAGCGATCATTCTGTTGCGTGCAATATTTTTGCGAAAAATGTTGGTATTATTCTACTTTTTAATAGTGATTTTTGATAATTCGTTTTTTGAGAATTTTTAAGAAAATGAAAGAATGAAAGACAGAAAATTAGATAAGAAATTGGTGCCGGAGCAAGTCAGAAACTTGAAATCGCGACCAATTTGGCTGCAAAAAACCACCCCCCGAAGAAGGAGCTCTCGACATTTTTGTTACCAACGAATGATTAGACCAATTCATTTTTACGATAGACCAGTTCACTATGTTATCTTCTAAATACCTTGTTACCTGCATATTTACATAGTGGTTAATGTGCTGTACTGATGATTCCTGCCCCTAACCGCACCTTATACTATCTGTGTTTACAGCTTAGCGATGAAACACAGACAGACCTTTTCCTACATATCCTTTTTTTCCAAATGACCTTTCAACATGTCATACGGTTTTGTGCCACATAAATCACCCTACTACCTTTAAGTTGTGAGGTTTCTTTATTGAGTTGATGAAATTTGAGGTTATTGAGGTTATGTTCTTTTGTTACGTTGCAGGTTCTTTGTTCGGATGTTGTCGCATCGTTGCTGAAAGGGCAATTCGTGACATGGCCCTGGGATATGACTCAGAAAGAAAATCGACAAAAACTCTTCGAATGGATGGATGCATTGAATATTCGTGACGTCAAACGAAGCTTGGACAAGTGTGTTTTCCCAACGTATTTCCTCCTTTTTTTACGTATCTAATTTCACAGTTTGACAACTTAGTGTTAGTTTTGGATCAGTGTGTTTTCTCAGCATAAAATTTCGTCCTTCATGTTAGTTTTCTTTTTCGTTCTTCTTCCCTCCTGTTGTCTCTGTTGTCTTTTCTTCTAAACGCCTTATTACTTGACATATTTACATGATGGTTAGGAGGCTGTACTGATGATTCCTGCCGCTACCCGCACCTCACACTGTCTGTGTTTACAGTCAAGGGATAAAACATGGGCAAACCTTTTCCTGCATATCCTTTTTTTCCACATGACCTTTCAGCATGTCAGACGGTTTTTTGTCACATAGATTGCCCTACTGTCTTTTCTATTACAGCATAAATTCACCTTATTAAACTAACCCCCTCTGTAAGTTTAAATTTTCAGACTTTGGCCGCTCCGCATTTTGGATCGTCCGCTTGTTTTTAAGATTACGATTCGGCCTTCTAACAACCGCAAATTATTTTTGCAAGCTTATTCCACCCTTCGTTTAAACTTTCTGCTTCCAGCCGCTGCACACTTTGTCTTCTTTGGACCATCCACTTGTTTTAAGACTACGATTAGGCCTTCTAACGGCCATGATTTGTTATTCTTCACGACGACCGGCGTATTGGGTAAACAGCGGAGATATAAAGAAATCGTAATTTGTAGTTACAAAATCAGGAATACATA